AATGTTGTTTGAGAACCGCCACCGTCCGTGAACCACCGCCGTCTTCCTTTGTTCGTGAGCCGCCGTCGTCCTTTGTTCGTGAGTCACCATCGTTCTCTAGCGAAAGCGCAGTTGCATCACCGGCGAGAGAGCAACTGGGCAAACACTGTTCGTGACGAGATTGTTCGAATCTCAGACCCGTTCGTCACGAGAGGAGAGAGAAACGAATCGACGAGGTGGCGAGGAGATCTGATTGGCTAGGTGAGGGAGCAGTTAGTGGAGACGAGGTCACGGTGATCTGTTACGGCGGCGAGGCGAGATCGAGATATCAGAGAAATCACCAGACAATGCGAGGAAACCGCCTGATCGTGAGAGAAGAGCTACCGAAGCCAGGACAGAGTCTAACGCGAGAGTGTCTCAACAAACTAGCTCGATGACGTCAGTCCCCAGAGTTGGCACTACTGGAACGCTTGCACCTAGGCCGCGTCGCCCTGAGTTAGAGCAAAATGCTGCTGTCATCGCATAGGCGTCATGATGACGCGAGAAGAAGAGATGACGGCATGGAGGCAAGTCGCAAACGTTCCCGAGAAGACAAAGGCAATGATGTTGTTGATAGAGAGGACCCGAGCAGCTCGAGGCGCACCGCGGCTCCTCGACGTGATCACGAGGCGACGGATCAATCCTTTCCCTCTGGTTCGAAGGGATCGTCTCGCAGTGCTGCGCTGGCGGCGTCGCATTTGTCTAAGATTGTCTTTCCAGGCACCGAGTTTCTCCTTCTAGAAGAAATGTCGAGGAATAATTCTTACTCAGGCATGGTCCTTCATTGTATGACGGTATGACTTCTCGATGACTCCTATATGGCAATGATTTTCTTTTTCCATCTCTTTTGATCCTCTAACTCGTTTTCTGCGATCTTTTTACTTAGCAGTTCCTATCTTCGCTTAACAAGCTTACCATTGACTACGAGGTGGCTGCTCGTTCGCTGACTCGTCAGCTTGTTAATATTCATAAGGCTTGTGATAACTTAAAAAATAAAAAAGGAGTACCGAAGACCGCATCACTGATCTCGAAGCCACCGTAAAGGAGACCGAAGATAGGCATCGCGAGATGGATGAGACGTTTACAAAATCAGAAGCCGAGAAAAAGCGCATGAAGCAGGAAGTTGTAGACCTAACCAACCGCCTAGATGTTACCGCCAAGCTTCAAGATGCGGTTGTGCAGTGGGCTGTCGAAGAAGGGAAGCATGAGCTGGCGGCGAAGTACGAGGCGAAGATCGATCGCGCTACAGAGAATATCAAAATGATTAACGGCCAGCTGAGGTTTGACATAATTGATCTTGCTGAAGTCCGGAGTAACATTGAGTTCATAAATTTGCTTCAGAGTGACAATGCACATGATCTTGGTGAAGAGCTTGTTGACCTTAAGAAGCAGGAGGCGGGCTTATCGCTTGCAGATAAGGTGTTTGCTGAGTATGTGAGCGAACTTGAAGAGATCCTTATGGATTCGCCGATTAGCACGATAAATGATCGAGTTGAGGAATTGGATGCTAACGTCGTTGAGTCGGATGCTAACTCAGGTTCGAGCTCTTCTGATTCGTCAAGCGACAATGATTTGTCAGACTCACCGGCCGAAGTTCGTCCTGAGAAAGCTGTTGAGATTGTCGACAACGTTGAGTAGACCGCGTCTTAGTTTTTTTTTGTTTTAGCATTTTGTGATACTTTTAATTTCTAACTTAGCACTTGATTCAGTTTGGATGGTGTTTATCCCTTTGTTTGGATGTGTCACTATTTTTTAGATAGAATTTATGAACGCAGCTTTTACGATTCTCGTTCTTGTCTTTCAGATATACCGTTTTGCTGCTAAATTTTTAGCCCGTGACGCTGATGAGCCTGACTGCTTATTTGACAAACCAATGACTTGTTTATATTTACTGACTTTGACGCCGTCTATGGTTTGCCGGCGAGTCGTCATGGACAGCAAGCTGTTATTGATTGATATACTTTCGAAGATTGGCTACATTGTTGTTGGGACCAGCGATCATTTCAGTTTATAGGCGAGTCCGGGTGGATGCATCTGCTCTGAAAACGGCCGCGTTATTGCATAATGACCAACGATTAAATTGTTGGGTTTTCTGATGAATCTCTTGTCTTACGGGCGAACCTCCATCGACGCTCCTGCTTCGAGAATGAACACGTTATTGCGTAATGACCAACGATTAAGTTGTTGGGTTTTCTGATGAACTTCTTGGTTTACGGGCGAGCCTCTATCGACGCGCCTGCTTCAAGAATGAACATGTTATTGTGTAAAGACCAACGATCCATTTATTGGGTTTTCTGATGATCATTTCGGTTTACGACCATGTATTATATCGACACGGCCGCTTCTAAAATGATCACGTTATCGCGTAAAGGCCAGAGATTCATTTGTTGGGTTTTTGAATGAATATTTCGGTTTACGGGCGTGTATCACAACGACACGACCTCTCCTATAATGAATATTTTGCGATGATACCAGCGAGGTTTGCTGGGTTTTGAGGCAATCACTTTGGTTTACGACCATGTATTACAACGACACAGCCGCTCCTATAGTGATTACCAATTTATATAGCGCGCATAACCAGTGGTTGGTGTAAAAGTCAGATCTGGATGATAAAATAAGTTCGTCGTTGTGGCCAACAGTGACGGTGATAGAGTCTGATTAAGTTAAGACTTAAGTAATCCGTGATGGACGTAAATGAGATGCAAACGAGAAGTAAGCAGATCCTTGATCTTTATTAATCGTAGCATTTGTTTT